AAATATACTATTTAGATAAATTTTAGAGTAGAGACTAGTTTATTTAGTAGTATGTAATTTTTTAAAGCTTTTCATGGGCTTATAATAGTGATATTAGGATAGACAAATTTCTTTTTATTTTGTTTTTTCTCTCTTTTTGATTCCCTCTTTTCTTTCTTGCTTGTATATTTTAACGTGATCCTCTATACCTCTGTGTTTTTTTCCTTTTGTTAGTATTTTTGTATTTGGCTACTTAATAAAGCATGCAGCTGCTATGGCTTATAATTGAAGAGCACAAATCCTCAGTAAGTTGAGGATCTAACGTGAAGTTGATTGCTGCTAAGTAGGGTTGCACCTGAACTGTTGGCTGAGTGAGTCTCATTAGCATAGGAATATAGTATAGAAATGTTATTACCTCCTGTTGTAATAGCTTCTTAGTACTTCCAATAAAAGCAATGAGGCAGGACCGCTGAATATAAAAAAAAATAAAACATATAAAATTTGACCTTAATATAGTCACACTTTTTTATAATTACCAAATATTTGTTTCACAACCTGGTGATTATATCAAGAATTGACTGTAAATTTTATTTATTGTAGCTCTTGAAGCTTTTGCAATAAATTATTAAGTTCTTTCCTTCTAATAACTCTAAAGACGATAATTTCATCATTTTCAGCTGTTTCATTATTGAGTTCTTCAGTTTTGAGTTCTTCCATTCTACTTTCTTGTATCTGAATAGTTCTGCTTTCTTTTTATTTTTTATTTTTTTATTATCCAAATCTAACAAATGTTTTAGTAACTAATCTATATTTATCTTTATTTTATCAAATAAAAAATTATAAGCAGAATAGACATTTTTGGTTAACTTTGTTCAAACATTCTACATAATATTTGTGATCACAAGCTAGTATTTTTAAATTAGATAATAAAAGATTAGTAAATACATGCATATCTACTTTATTGTATAATAAATAGTTATATAAAAAAAATTGATTAGGTTTTTATAAAGTGCTAAAATCTAAGGGAGCTAACATTTAAGAGCTCAATATAGCCCCCTGGAGATTGTCAATTGACTATTCCCTAAGGTATCAGAGGCAGTCATTTGACAATTTCAAAAATTAAAAAAAATTATATAAATTTTGCATATTTTATATGCTTTTTGCATATTTTAT